TTAAGGTCTCAGAGAAGAGCTAATAAATTTGTAGACTGATAGGGAAACTTGTTCCCTACAAATCATTCATATAGACTCCCAAAAGGTGGACTTCACTTACCACTGTAATGACTATGATTCCATAACAACTTCTCAAGAATGTTTTAATAACTTTCATGTTTCCAACTGCCACACTAGGACTAACTGACACCTATGTTTCTGAGACTGGACCATTCCTTCTAATGTAAATATATTCCCCCCCACCCCCGCCCTCAATGTGACCTCTGAAGTCCTCTGCTATTTCAACTGAAAAACTGTGATTACTTATTTTCCCTAAATTATTTATCTTGCAAYAGTCATGTACTCAAGTGTACAGCTTTCCATTAGAAAAAATGGATTAAATCTTTGGGGGAGAATTCCTGAAAATCAAGGTTTTACCTAAACTGAATTTATGAAATGCTCTAAAATGCAAAACATTTTGAGCGCTCACTTGATGCCAACAGTGGAAAATTCCACAAACACACATGAGAGGTTGCAGTCAGAAAGCAGGCACACAWCSGTGTGTGGTGGCTCATGCCTGTAATCCCAGCAGTTTGGGAGGAGGCAGGAGGATCTGAAACTACCTCCAAGTAGACAGTGTCTAAACTGAACTAACTATAGKACACTCAATTAGTGGGCCCAGGAGAACTGACGGGTTGGCGGACTGCTGAGTATGTGAGGAGAAATCCTCAGACATCTGATGTCAGAAGTGCTGTGATACAACAGCTAAGCTATGGAGCCACCCTAGGTCCCCTTCAACAGATGAATGGGTAAAGAAATTGTAGTTTACTCAGCTATTAAAAAGAATGACTATATGACACTTGTTGGTAAATGAATTAATCTGGAGACCAGCATGCTAAGTGAAATAAGCCAGTCCCCCAAAATTAAGATTGAATATTTTCTCTGGTATGTGGAAGYTAACCCACAAAAAGGCGAAGGGGAACAGAAGTTCAGCAGATTAGACAAAGGCGAATGAATGGAAGGGAGGAGGAATAGGAAAAGGAAAGACAGTGGAATGAATATGACATTACTTTCCTATGTACATATATGAATATACCAGAGTGAATCTCACYATCATGTATACCCACAAAACTGGGGTCCTATATAGAGAAAGATATGTTCCATGCCTGTATAATTATATCAAAATGGATTCTAATGTCATATAACTAAGAAGAATAAAAAAAAATCCACATTTTGGTTTTCTTTCCATTCTAAGAGACAAGCCAAACTTCAAACATATTTATCACTTAGMAAAGTTAAAAGCTTGGAGAAACTTTACAACACATATAACACTGATTTCAGTGGCAAAGTTTATAGTGCTCTATGTTCAAGTTATTCTAGAAATTTTTAATCTAAAAGTTATCAATTTTAAAAATGATTTATAACTCGAAAGTAGGGTACCAAAAAATAGAATTTTAGGTTCAAATCTTGAGTGCCACTTTTCTGCATAAGACTTGGCAAATTACTCAAATTACTTCCCTGAGCTTCAGTTTCCTTATCTACAAAATGGGAATAAAAAACTTGGATTAATTAAAATAACTGCATGTAAAATACTTACAATAATAATGCTTGAGGCAAAGTACACACTTGGTAAATAAGGATTATTCATCAAACAGCCGACTTTCACTTGCAAGGTTCTTGCTAGCCAAGCCCTATTACCACACACTCAAAGRGAGCAGACAGTCCACTCTGCCTCCTACAGATGGGCACTAACAGTTCCTAACAGTTTTAGAAGTCCTACTAGGATCTTATGACTTTGTAGGAGATTCCTGCCCTCAGGCTCCATGATGATACCTAGCCCCATTCCATTAAATATTAAGAAAAAAGCTGATAAGCCCATAGGTAATACTGAAATAATACCAATCCAAGAAAATGATTAAAGTAGCACATTAACTTACTTTGCTTAAAAATCAGTGGCCTAGAATGACACAGAATTGCCTACCTTCCCCAAAGAATTAAAAGCTCATAAGGTTTGTATTTTATTGGCCAACCCTTTACTGTGTGTGTGTGTCTATAGGTGCATTTAAGACTTACTTTTATTTATTACCTGAACTAAAGGGTAATTCTGCTCACAGAATTTTTCCCCATGGTGCCTACTCTGTGCCAGGTAATCAAATAGCAAGAAAACTCCATAAAAGACAGTCTAGGCCTGGGGTTGTAGCTCAGTGGTAGAGTGCTTGCCTAGCATATGTGTGAGGCACTGGATTCAAGCCTCAGGACCACATTAAGAAATAAATAAAATAAAGGTATTGTGTCCATCTATTACTTAATCTGCTGTCACTCTATTAGACTAGTGAARAATTCAGCATACCTGCATCACACCATATTTTTGTTAAATTAGGCAATCAGAAAATTAAGATTTATTACAATTTTATTTMTTTATTTTATTGTCTAGGTTACTTAATTTTAACACCTATTGATAACTATGTGGACAAAAAATGGTTTTTCCTTTTAATCTTCTAAAATACACCTCAATTAGACTTATATCAATACTTACTTTWGTATTCATTTGTTTGTCATAACTTTTTCTTTAACCAAAATAACAGCCAAGAAATAAATGATAAAATCTCCCATTCTGACTTTACTTGTAACAATTTTAAGGACAGCCCAGTAACTTCAGCATGAAACATGCTTATGTGATTAAAGTTTTTTTATGTGCCACAGATTTAAATGAAGATTCCAAAAAACATTCTTGTTGCTATAAATCTATACAAAACTTTTTTAAATTTACATAGGACATTATCAACTACATGGAAGCCATACAAGTTAACATTCTATGTACAAAGCATGTTAATCTATCATCTTAACAAATGTAAAATGTAATTGATTGCTAAACTTTATTTTCTGCTKTTTTTTATTGTTTTCTTACATTATGTTCAACGTACAAAAATTTTCTTTTAGTCGACAACAGTAGAAAATAAAACTGACAAACTRTTTCTATTTGTGATTAAGAACAAAGTGGACAAGACAGAATTTGATAACACCAACCCCTAGGGAAAAAAAAACCAAAAAAACAGAAAAGCTATGATAACACAGGATAGATACAAGCAACAAGAATGTCTTTCATTTTCAAAGCTGAATAAACTGTAGTATTCACTCATAATACTACATAAGAGTCTAAAAATAAAATCTAGCCTATGATTCAAGATAAAATACTTGGAATCATCATGAACATTAATTGACAACTTATTATGTGCCAAACAGCATTCTAAGTGCTTTGCAGCTCATTCAACCCTCACAATCACTGTAAGAGAATAAAATTATCATTTCCATGTCATATGGCACCAAGAGATTAAATTATTTATCCAAGGTCACAAAGCTGTTGTGTGGCAGAACCAAGATTGAAAACTAAGCAATCTGCTGCAGAGCTCACTTTTAATCATTTTAATTCTTCTGTGAAAGACAGCTGATAATGTTATTTATTCATGATGCCGAACTACACAGTTTTAAGTTCTAATCCTTGTCTGTGAGTACCATGTGAGTGAAGTGAGCAGGCCATTATTACAGAAGTAGCAGAAGCTCAGGAGAGGGAAAAGATATTTTCTTCAATGACTTTCCTTTGATATAAAAATTGCTCTGTTTGCAGTTGTGGAGTTCCTACTAATGCCAATGTCATCCCAAGTTCAAACATGGAAACCAAAAATTTATGGCAACACTCACTTGAAAAGACACTGTTGATTCTAAAATGTTTAAGATCCTAATGAATTTTTTTTTAAATACAACATCTAAAACACTCAAGAACTTTATAATCTCATGAAAATGACTCAAACTCAACAGAAAAATAAAGAGCTACAAAATTTAAAAATAATGATATCTTTTTTTCCTCAGACTTCTATGTCTATTGGGGGGGGAAGGTGGGGTAAGGAGTGGTAGAGATAATTAAATCCACACAGCTTATAAGAGGGCTGAAGTATAAATTAGGAAGAAAATGAAGCCAGCAATCTTGTTGGTGGTGCTGTTCATTCTATCAGCTCCATAGAACAATTCAACACACAAGCTCCAACACAAGTTGATCACAGCTCTAACATTTGATGGCACAAAGGCACTTTCAAGTCAATGTATCAGAAGAAGAAAAAAATAATCACCCTTCCTAATAACAACTTTCACCTTTAGCAATCAAAATCTAGGTATTTTAGATTAGTGTCTCTCTTTTTTTTTTGTCCAGATAGAAATTTTAAAAAGCATTCTACCTTATAGTATTACTGTAAAAGAAAACTAGGTAAATAAAATCTCCCTAATAAAATTCAAGACAAAAGAGTTTGATATTCACATTAAACTAGTAAAATAAGGAAAAGAAGGTAGGAGGAGAAAGAACAGGAACAATACATTTTAAAGTAAAATGCCTAACTAAAACACAAGGGTTGGGGTTGGGGTTSAATGGTAGAGCAGTTGCCTAACACATGAGGCACTGGGTTTGATCCTCGGCACCACATAAAAATAAATAAAACAAAGGTATTTTGTCCATCTACAACAACAACAAATAAAATTTTCAATGCCTAAAAATAACTTACAGTTGAGATAAAATGTTGCTGAAACCAATCTCATATGGTTAGTAATAAGCCTTTGTTTTAACAGATTTCTATGTCTTCTAACTGCCCCAGTGATTTGACATACAACTACAGTTAAAATTCACGAGACCAATCCAGTTTACAGCTCATCAAAAGAAAACTTTTAGGCTTTTCAAGCTTTTACTTGCATATTTTCATAGACAACATGATAGTCTAATTTCCACATGGAGGTTTCTCAAGTAGAAAATATTAAAGTTAAATTAACACAATGGAGTAACTAATAMTTTATTCCTAAGTGTAAAATGGTGATTAACAAGGGGGAAAAAAATCAGAGAAACACCTTAAAAAATGTTTCAGAGTTCCTAACATCGAGTATCAAGTTTTACACCTAAAAGATATGAAACTTTACTATTAGCATGAAAAAATATAAGTAAATTATTCACACAAAGACKTGCCCCTCTTTCAAGGACTTACCTTCTTTTTATCTCTCATTGAGCCTTTGCCTCGGACCATTATTTTACATCCAGTTTCTGCTTCAAGCTGTTTAGCGGTAAGTCCTCTGGGTCCAAGGATTCTCCCAACAAAATTAAACTGGAAAAACAAAGAACCACAAATTATTCATTTGCTATGATGGTCCTTAAAGTTATTTTAAAGTATATATGCATGTATGTATGTATGTACGTATGTACGTACCTATGTGTAATAAGAAGTAAAATTTAGAGCCCTCATGAATCTCATGCCAAGTTTGGGATAAAACTATTGTTTTCTCATTGTTTTAAAATAAAATTATCATTTGTATTAACACAAACTATGAATTAGAAACAATACCCGATACACACAGGAGCTATACAGAATTGTCCACAAGTACATAATGTAAGCCAGAGTACATTAAAGAGCTGATGAATGATTAGATGCCATCTAAGAATATAAACCTGTTCTATAAATTTCTGTCTGTTCCAGATGTCGGGTGCTGAATCAATTGTTCATTCTGTTAGTAGTGATTACCCTGTATGATTTAAAGGGGGGGGGAGGGCTGAGGAAAAGTCCTACTTTCATAACGAAAAAAGTCATACTTTCTCCAGATAGAAATGTATAAATTACAATTCTGAGTGGGGTGCTACAACATTGRGGGACAAATCTGTATTCTACCCTACATGCTAAGTCTTGAGAATACATATTTTTCATCATATTTCTTGGACAATTTCATGTCTGCATCTTTACTTTCCTTTATTTTTTTCCTTTCCATCTTTAACTTACACTTCTATTTTTTCTAAGGAGCCTAAACTAAACTCTTTCTTTCCATGAATAAGTCAGTCATATAAGCAAGTGTATAAATGAAACTTATTCTCATCCAACAGAAACTTTTAGACTCACATGTGAAAGTTTCTTTATATTAAGGCAAATGGTTTTTAGACATTTTACTTTAAAATGTATTATTTCTGTTTCCTGCTTTTTCCTTCTGTCATTATCTTGTTTAACTATTTTAATTAGTAAATATCCAAATATCTGTGTGTGCATATTGAAAGTATATTTTCTTCATTTGCATATCACCTGCATGAAAACAATGAGTGTCTTCCACCAGGTCCACAAAAACTCATGAGTGGTTTTCATTTATTTGTTTAATAATAAAAAATACCGATTCTTAGGCATACAATTTCCCACCTTTCTCTTGCATTTATCCTACTGTTAGTGTATCATTATATCAAAGTAACAAGCTAGAATATTTACTGGTGGTCMCAAGAAGCTGGGTACTTCCTTCACCCTTCTATACTCCAAAGGCGCTCTCTCTCTGCCTCAAAGAGGCTTGCCTTTGAGAAAGTGATTCTCATGTGAAAGGGGGATAATTAATGCACGTGCATTCTTTGAAAAAAGTCTCCTCCCCCTAGGGATTCTGATACAGCCCCTAGTTGAGACTCTCAGCCTTTGATCTATATGCACTTGACTAACTCTATAAGACCCCAGATTCTGAAATTTGCCCAAGCCACCTATTTACATTCAAATAAAGCCTGTTATTCTTTACCAGTTTCTTAGCTATTATATTTCATCTACCTTTTGACGGAGTCTAAACACAATTGTCATCTATTTTAACAAGGAATTTTCTTTTTAGAATCCCCAGTCAACCTCACCATCCCACATCTCCAATCTGAAAAAACTAATAGTATACTAAGGTGAAGTGCTTAAACTCTGAAAACACAAAAATTCATTCAATTGATATCCAAGCTCCAATGAAACAGTAATTAGGAATTTCAGAGTCACATCAAATAAACCTTGACTACATAATGGAGGTGGTAACACTATCTGATAGAGGTATACTGACAGCTGTGCACACAGCATACATAGTAAGTTTGGCGTAGAGTAGGCCATTAATTGYCTCCTAATCCCACTGCACATTCTCTTCAGGAAACCTCAACCCTTTGGCTCACTCAACAATCAAGCTTAGGATGTCACAGAAAAGGATATGATCAATGGCAAATTATATTTTGTAATAAAACAGCACAGCATATTACACTGGCAGCTGCCTCACACATCTCATGTTTACCACAGTCTCTTGACTGCATCAAGAGGCTGCACAGACTAACTTATACAGCCCGGGTTTGTGCAAGCATACTCTCCCATGTTCCCATAGCTACAAAATTACATGACAACACATTTCTCAGAATATAAACCATTCATAAGCAACCTTATATAACTATACCTCAGTCTCTGGGCTCTCCATTCTATTTCACTAATCTATTTAGTCTTTCTTTAATATCATGCTGTATTAACTACAGTGACTTTATAATAGATCTTGGTATGCAGTAAAGCAAGTTCTTCTACTTTGCTCTTCAAGAGTGTTTTGGCTGTTTCTGGCCTGCCACATATTTTTACACATATTTTAGAATGAGTTGCTCAATTTCTAAAATAMTATTTTTAAGAATTTTCATTGGAATTCTACTACAATATAGTGTATATTCAAAACCATAAACATGGTATATAACTTCTCCATTTGATTAGGTCATCTTTTATTTTTCTCTCAAGAACGTAAACTTTTAAAGCATTTTTATTATGCCTTTACTCTCACTTAAAACTTAACTCCTAGAAATTCATAGGGTTTTTTTCTGTCGTCGTATATTATATTTTTTAAAATTTTTTCCCTAAAAAACAAACATATAATTGGTTTTCCTATAAACTTGTATGTAACAATCTTGTTTTATTATTATTCTTGTTTTTTCTGTATATTCTTTAGAATTATTTTTTTTCCTGTATATTCTTTTGAATTATTTATGTAAATGATCACATCACTTGCAAATAAGTTATATTTTTTCCTTCCAACTATATATTTTTATTTCTTCTTGCTATCCTTTACAACACTGTCAATACACCAAAACTCAAGATTAAAGATTTCAAAAGTTCACCCCTAAAAGTTTGAAGTAATGTGTAGACATTTTTACATATATACTTTTTTAGGTTATAATGAATTTCAACAAGTAAATGTTAAACTAACCTTCCATTCTGAAACTCAACTTGATCATAATTCATTATTCTTCTAATAAATTAGTGGATTCAGTTTCCCAGCATTCCGGTGATTTTTAAAAAAATACATTCATGAACAGAACTGACCTATAATTTTCCTTTCTCACAATATGCTTCTCAGGTTTTGTCATTAGGGTCATTGGCCTCAAAACATATTGGAATGTATTCTTTCTTCTTCTCCTCTTTGGGTAAGCTTCTGTAAGCCTAGTGTTATTTCTTCATGAAATACTGAACAGAATTCATTGGTGATACCACCTGGGACCACAATCTTCTCTGTAGAAAGTTTCAAATTATGGATTTAGCCTTAGTATTGTCAATTGATACACTGTTTATCTAGAAACATATCCATATTGTCTAAATTGTCAAATTTCTTGGATTAAAGTTTGTCTAATTTTCTATTTAATATATATAAGATCTGTAGTGATTTACACATAACTAAGCTGGCTTTAGCAGTGTCCCACAAGTTTTCCAGACAGCATTTTTCACTTTTTACTATTTATCCACATTTCCCTTTTTCTTTCATTTTCCAATAATTCTCCTTTGCTTTTGTTGATTGGGATGGAAAGATTTTAAACAGGTTCAGAGCTGGACACAGTGGCACAAGCCTGTAATCCCAGCAGCTCAGGAGGCTAAGGCAGGAGGATGGCAAGTTCAAAGCCAGCCTCAGCAATGGCAAGGTGCTAAACAAACTCAGTGAGACCCTYTCTCTAAATAAAATACAAAATAGATCTGGGGAGGCGGCTCAGTTGTCGAATACCCAAGTTCAATTCCTGATCATCCAAGTTGCTCCCCTAAAAAAACAGGGTCAGTATTCTTCCCTCCTCTTCACCATACTCCTACCATTTGTGATGTAAATTTGGACCTCTTCCCACCTCTTGAATCTAGGGTAGCAGTGACTTGCTTTGGCTGATACAAAGGATATGCCAGTTAAAAGTCAACCTTATATGTGGTTCCACTCTCTTAAGACCCTACAGCTCGCATGAGGATAAATATGCACTAAGGTTGTTGTGGGAAGAAATACATGTGACCCAGTAACCATCAATGCCTACTGCTAGGAATCTCTCAAAAGCAGAACTGCCTGCCAACCTACAGTAGAGTGCAGATTCAGACCCAAGCAGCTCTGCTGAATCCAGTCACAGAAGTGGGAGTATAAGAAATTGTTCATGTAAGTAATAAATTAAATTTGGGGGTGGTTTAATTATAATGCAGCAATAGGTAGACAATATGTACTCATTCTCTTCATTTTGAACTTTTCTCCTCCTTGATTTCTGCTTTAGTTTTATTTTCTTCCTTCTGCTTCCTTTGGGTTTAATCTGTTACTGTTTTTCCAAATTTCTGAAAAGAATGCTTATTGCATTCTTTTTTTTTTATTGGCATTTTTTCCCCTAATGCATGTATTTAAAGATTTACACATAATAACTAAGCTGGCTTTAGCAGTGTCCCACAAGTTTTGACAGACAGCATTTTCAAYATCATTCAGGTAAAAATAATTTGATAACTATTAAATATTTAAACGTATTTTTTTCTCATTTCAAACCTATAAGAATTTCATAATTAGGTTTGGTTTTGATTTCTAGCTTCCTACACTGTAACCAGAAAACATACCATGTAAAATATTATTCCTTTTATTTGTTCAGATTTGCTATTTTAAATAGGATATAATCAATGTTTGTAAACATTCTATGAGTGCTTAAAATGAATGCAAAGTCTACTTTGCATAAGTGTCTCTGTGTTTTGCARTGTTGGGGACTGAACCTAGGGCCTCAGGTATGCTAGGCAACAAGTTACCTCTGGGCTACGWCTAAGTTTATTTGTCCTTTTACTTCTGTTTACAGGCCATGTTCATTGGCATACACATATGTTAAAAAGGTATCTTTCTGTCATTATGAAATGGCCCTCTTTATTTTCAGTAAATACTTTTGCCATTAAGTCTATGTTGATATTAACATGAAGATACAGTTTTTTATTTGACTTTGAGATGCATATTTCTTGATTACATASTTTGAATCTTTTGCTATTATTATATTTTAAATGGTATTTCTATGAACAGCATTTTGTTTCTTCATTCAAACTGTCAA